GAGGGAAAGCATTTGAGAGGCACTAAGGACAACCTGTGCAAAGGTACAGAGATAGAAGATGGCATGTCATATATTTTTGTTGTTCAGTTGTTGTTTTTCCGTCATGTCTGACTCTTCTTGGCTTCATTTGTAGTTTTATTGGCAAAAATACTGGAGTGGTTTGCCATTTCCCTCTCTAGCTATTTTATAGATGAGGAAACTGAAGCAAACAGTGGTTAAGTGACTTGCCCAGGGTCTACATAGCTAGTAAGTGTCTGAGGCCAGACTAGTCTTCCTGATTCCAGACCTGGCACTCTATCTACTGGGCCACCTACCTGCCCTTTGTCCTACATGGGGAACAGTAAATAAGGCCAGACTCTATTCTACTCTACTCTTAGATCTGGGTAGTAAGGAAATCTAGCTGGTTGCAGTTGTTACTCCTAGAGCCAGGTTAGTAATGCAGTGGTACAGCTAACATACTGTGCTTCAAATGTGCCAGTTATATCACTAAATTCCTGAGTAGGGGACTCCACTTTGGGATCTGGCAATGGACTATAGCGAATTACAGCATACATCTGGTCTAGGAAATATTCCTAATGGCTTAGAAAATACATTTCCCTGAGATTCACACAATGTCCAGATTATATGAAGCAAGCCAACAGACCCAAATGAAAAGTGAATGGAGCAGAGAAGTAATTCAAGCTGAATAATTCAAAATACCTCTTCACCCAAACACAAGACTCACAGGTCTGCATATTAGTACATGTTTATCAGTCATCTCAGTTGGAGGGCCTATGGAAGAGATGAGTTATTTGTTTTCATTCTGGAATAATACAAGAATGTCAGATGTCTCCTCCTCCATTCAAGGAAATGATGTAGATCATCGGAATTTAACAGACTCAGAGGATTGAGTAAGGGGATAAGGGAATGCTGGCGAATGACTTGGTTCTAAAGGAGATCTGTAGGAGTAAAAAGGAAGTTGAACTAAGGTTTGCAAGTGCAGAAGGCTTAGACAGGAAGTCATGAATTGAGTCTGAGAGCATTAAGGGTTCATTTGTGTATGGATGTGTGCCAAGGATGTGTGGATCACATGGAACATGATCAGGAAAACACTCCAAGGGGTCCAACCTGAAGGATTAATAGTCTCTCACTCAAGAAATCATTCCATGAAGTTATCCTTGGATGATGGCATCCTCTTACTCTAACCATGCCCATCTTCAGCTGTCTGTGCATCTTGTGGGTGAGGATACTTGGATACAGGGTCAACTTAAAGCAAAGTTGTTTAGTAAATTATATGCATATTATTCCCACTTCCTTGACTCCCTTTACTGTACATAAATTCACTTGATACCACCTTTTTTGTGTTTTAAAGGACATTTTATTTGTTTTATTTTTAATGTGATAATTTTCTTTATTTTTTTTTCAGTTTTCAACATTCACTTTCATAAGATTTTGAGTTCCAATTTTTTTTCTTCCTCCCTCGCTCCCCTCTTCCCTTCCTAAGACGGCAAGCAATCTGATACAGGTTATACATGTACAATCATATGAAACATATTTCCACATTAGTCATGTTGTGAAAGAAGAATCAGAACAAAAAGGGAAAAACCAAGAGAAAGAAAAAAGAAAAGAAAAGAGAAAATGCTTTGATCTGCATTCAGACTCCATGGTTCTTTCTCTGGATGTGGGTATCATGAGTCTTTTGGAATTGTCTTAGATCATTGCATTGATGAGAAGAGCTAAGTCTATCAAAGTTCATCATTGCACAATGTGGTTGTTACTGTGTACTGTGTCCTGGTTCTGTTCACTTTACTCAGCATCAGTTCATGTAAGTCTTAAAGGATATATATTTTTTTTTTGCTTAGGCAGTTGGGGTTAAGTGACTTGCCCAGGGTCACACAGCTAGTAAGTGTCAAGTGTTTGGTCTGAGGCTGGATTTGAACTCAGGTCCTCCTGACTTCAGGGCAGATGCTCTATCCACTGTGCCACCTAGCTGCCCCCTTAAAGGATATTTTAGCTAGATGTGAAGCAAGTCAACATGAGATCACTAGAAACAAGATATGTGAGACTAATCTGATATAACACATGTAAAGCATTTTGCTAACCTGAAAGCACTTTATAAATGCTAGCTATTGTCATATTATATTATTATCATTATGATTTTAATTTTTGATGAGGTTACTGGACTGGAATGTTATACTGTAGACAGATCATTTATAGTTTTCAGAAAGTAAAATTTAAATCATTTTAAATCAATTTAATATAAATAAATTTCTATAAAATAAATAACAAAAAATTTAAAGTAAAATTTCAGTTCAGTAAAATTTAAATCAATTTAACAAAAAAATTACTCAGTACCTACTATTTAAGGCATTGTGCTAAGTTCTGGCACTACAGAGACTAAAAGAGAGCATTCCTTCTGTCAAAGAGTTTAAATTCTATGGGGAGAAACATATTTAGACTTTAGGTGATTTGGGGAGGCTCAGAGCATTAACAGCTAGAGGGAATCAGGATAATTCATGCAGGGAGGGGACAGCTGAACTTTGAGGCTTTAAGGAAGATAAATATTCTGAGAGGCGGAGATGAAGATGAAGAGGATTCCAGGCATGGAAGAATACCTGTGTGAAAGAGATGAAAAATAGAATTTGGCTATAATGTAAAGTGTATGAAGAGGACTCATGTAACACAAGGCTGGAAAAGTTAGTTGAAGCAAGATTATGGACCATCTTGGATAAAGCAGAAGATAGAGCACTGGACCTAGATTCAGAAAGACCTGAGTTCAGATGTGGCCGGAAATATTAGCCATGTGGTAACCTCTGTTTACCTTAGTTTCCTCATCTGTAAAATGGGGATAATAATAGCACCTACCTCTCAGGGTTATTGTGATGATCAAATGAGATATTAATTATAAAGTATTTAGCATAGTTCCTAGCACATAGTAAACACTATGTAAATGTTAGCTATTATTACTACTCTTATTAACCTCTTTCTGCCTCATTTCCTCAATGGGGATAATAATAGCACCCTGCCTCCCAGGGTTGTTGTGAGGATCACATGAGATAATATTTGTTAAAGCACTTAGCACAATGCTTGGCACATAGTAGTAGGTGCTTACTAAATTGCATATTCTGTCCCCCACCATCACCTTAAATGCCAAGTTAAGACATTATGTATTGGCAACAGGAAGCTACTGGAAGCTATTACACTATACAATGGCATGGTCAGACCTGTGCAGATCTATAACTAGAAACTCAGATGCCGGAAGAAAAGTGTTTGGGGAAGGGGAGAGGGGATGTGTCACCTGGCATGCAGGAAGGCCTTAGTGTCCCCTAAAGTCAGCTCAAAGCTACATCATTGATGATATTTGAAATACCTGGTGAAAAATCTAAAGTGGGTCCTTAGGTCTGGGTTGCCACCCATGATGAGGCCTCCATGGGCTACTGCCACATTGGGAGGTGTGCTGGTTCATCCCCTGGAAAGTCTGACCCATGTCTCTAAGGCACAAAACCCTCCTGACTCAAAAAGGATAGTGGACAAGTGGTGTGATGATGGAGGAAGGAAGGTCTCAGCTGGAGGGTGGCAACAACAATTCTTTGGGAGTTAGGCTAAGCAAGGGATGGGAGGCCAAAAAGAGAATATATAAAGTGCTGCAGAACAAAGCCCCATTCACCCTGCCTTTCTTATGATTCTTAACACGTACTTTAGGAAGTTCATGTTGACAGTTTCCCAAGTAGAAGATGGGAGAGAGTGGGAAAAACAACTAAGGGGTTTTAGTTGACCTCAAGTCCATTATGAGTCAATATGATGAGGTTATCATCCAGAAAATGGTCAAAGATCTACAACTTTAGTGGTGTGAGTATTGTCTCCTGGGATGCCCTTCTATGACTTAGTAGCTTGCCTTTGAGAGCTGTGGGTGCTAAAAAGTTCAACTATCAGCAGCCAGATTTGTGGTGAACCCCTCCCACTTATTAGGTTGGTTCTGGGACAAAAGACATATAGCTCATCTCTGGTCTCCAACTTAAAATCTTTCCAGCTTAGAAGAGCCTGTCAGAGTTTGAGTAGCTGGGGGTCACCTCCATGTCATAATGAAGCTTCAGAAAAAGACTTTGGTAGAGAAATGCAGCTTGAGACTACATTAACCAAAGCATAGTTCATAGTCAGGTAGGCAGAAGTCCATCCATGTGCTGCCATAGTCATAGATGACTATGCTCAGTCTGGGTGTCTCATTTTAAGACAGATGATGACAAAAGAGTATGGTGGGAGAGTGAAAGGATTTAGAAACCTTGCCCTATGAAGTTTAAGGAATTGGGCATGTTTAGACTGGAGAAGAGAAGGCTTAGGGAATACATAATAGCTGTTTATACACACACACACACATACATATATTATTTTTTTGGTGAGGCAATTGGGATTAAGTGACTTGCCCAGGGTCACACAGCTAGTGTCAAGGGTCTGAGGTCAAATTTGAACTCAGGTCTTCCTGACTCCAGGGCTGGTGCTCTATCCACTGTGCTACCTAGCTGCCCCAGCTCTTTATATTTTTGAAGGACTCTCACGGGAAAATGGGACTAGACATGTTCTGTGTAGTTCCAGAAGACAGAACTAGCAGAAGTATATAGTGTTACAGAGAGATAGAGTTCAGCTCAACATAGGAAATTAAATTGAAAATTAAAAATGTTCCACCATGGAAAGGAAAGGCTTTCTCACAAGACATCCAATGATTTTATCACTAGAGGTTTGCAAACAAAGACTGGAAACAATTGGAAAGGGATGCTGGGGAGAGGATCTAGGTAGAAGCTGGACTTAAATGATCTCTAAATTCTAAAAGTCCTAGCTCTAGAATTCTATAATTCAATAATCTATGCTACATTTGTTGTTATAGGATGCTATAAGAGAGAGACAGAGGAGACCTATCACTTATCACAAATGTGATAGAGATTAATATATACCCTTTTAGAAGTCTTGAATCACATGTTAGAATAAAGAAAGTATAACAAAAGTTCTGAAATGTTTTGTTTAATTAGGTAGAAGAATGGGGACCATTTGATCTAATATATGGTTCCACTCCTCCAATTGGTCAAATCTCCGAACATCCACCTGGTAAGAGACTCTTTGAGACATTAAATGACTATCTCTTGAAATTCTCTTTATATGCATTGTTCCCTTACCCCACCTAAGATTGCTTCCTTATTTAGAAGATCACTGCATGTGGTGGCATAGGCCTATTAACTCAGCTGAGGCTGGTACATCTCTTGAGTTTGGAGGTTTTGAGCTCCAGTGGGCTCAGACCACAGAGTGTTCCCACTAAGTTTTGCATCAGTGAAATGAGTGTCCAGGCTGGGACACCAGGTTGCTTGAGGAAAAGCCAACTAACTCAGCTCAGAAACAGAGCAAGCCAAAGTTCCCCTGAGGATGATCAGAATTGGATCTGCTTATTGAGGAGCCCCTACATTTCTGGCTTGGGTGAGGTAGGGAAACCCTGTCCTAAAAAATAAATACAATTTTAAAAGGAAGAAAGAAAATTAAATACACGGATAGATCTAAAATTTCTGTTATTCTTAACTTTTTGACATCTTGTTCTTAAAATCAAGTAAACAGTTAGAATATGAGGTCTAGGGACTGTCAGGAGCTTCATAAGGAAAACCAGGCAAGCCAGGTAATGCTGAGAGCAATAGACTTTTTTAAAAATGAGTTTAAGAGGCCCATACAGGAAGGTCCCATGGCTAAACTGGAGACAATGAGAGAACAGCAAGAAGAGTCATCAAAAGAACTGGAAAGGATACCCAATAGGTGCTGAACTAATATGTCCTGATGTTGACATTAGTTCATCCCACACACATTGAGACTAAAACATCCAAAGCAGAAGGGGAAGAGAAAGGGTTAACTAGGACCACATTCGAGGATCCTGAGTCATAGTGGTCTTCAGACCACAAAAGGGGAGGAAGGGAGAAGACAATTGTCTTGGATTTCTGGACAATGGTCCATTCTATGCTTCTGGGTAGCTTACTGGCTTGGGGGTTTGGAAGTAGAGATAAGTGTGCCCACCCCAGGATTAGAGATGCTCAGATTTTTATAGGCTAGGGAGGAACTGGTGTCCCACCCTGATATCATAGATAGAAAGTCACCAATCAGCTAGGAAATTGGGTGTTTCCAGCTTAGAACAGAAGATTCTAGATATGAGAGGTTTCAGAGAAGGGGCAGGGGAGAAATGAAGGTTATAAAGTAGAAGGAGTTATCCTATGCCCATAGGTAGAGATGGCTAGGGAATATACAGCCTGTTAGAGAAAAAAAAGAGTAGGTCAGAATAAAAAGAGGTTTTGTCCCTACTACAATAGGAATATCTAAATAACTTTACAACCAGCATTAAGCTGTGTTCTTCCTCTCTCTGACAGATACAAGTAACTAAGATTAGAACATTCTCCTCCCATTCATTTTCCAAATTCTCTGTTTCAACATGGCTTAAGTGTGATTTGAGTGGAGAATCACCAGCACAGGGTTTCTTGTACTTGATTTTAAAAAACATGTGATAACTATATTTTGGTGCAATTGGTTTCCATTATATTTCCTTTGTCTTCCTAAGTATTTTATTCTATGCATTTAAAACATTATTCTGAGAAGGGGTCCATAGTGTTCACCAGACTACTGAAGGAATCCATGACACAAAAAAAGGTTAAAAATTTCTGATATAGTGAAAACTGCTCTCCTTGACAGTCAACATTTCTATGTTCCTTGTTTAATTCTTCGAGTGGAATAGGGAACTCTCAGAAGGGGAGGGAGAAGATGCTATGGCGGCAGGCAACAAATGCCCCAACTCTGATGACCAATACCATCCAAACAGCAACCTCCCCTCAGCCTGTCCCCTCCCCAGCTAAAAGTATCTTCTTCATCAAATTTCTTACAACACTTTCTCTGGATCTCTCCTTTTCCCTAATTATATGCCATCTTGTATTACTGATTTGTGTTAATGAAATACCTCCTTCAGTGTATTCCATAAAAGTGGGGACATTGGTGTTTTTCATCTTTGTATCTCCGAAAGCCTAATATATTGTTTTGCCTAGGGTAGGCACTTTGTAAAAGTTTGTTAAATTAAATTGAATTGAATTTTCCCTTTTTTACACAGCAAGGCTAGCCCTCAGAAGAGTGGCAGCAACACCACACCCAAGCAGTTAGGAATGGACAGAGTCCTCAATTTCTAGAAAGCCTCAGAGAACATTCCATTATGGTTTAGAAGTGTCTATTTTCTTTCTTCCAGGTCAAAGAATCAGGCATGCTACGGTAGGGGAAAGGCTGACATGCTGCCTTTCTCTTCCTTTCTCCCATTTCATTCTACAGAGACAGCTCCTGCACTGTAATGAAATGGTCCCCAAACCACAAAACAATCCTGGCAGAGGAGACTCACAAAATAGATGTCTTCTGTTTTCAAGAACTAATCTGGCTTCATTCCCTGTAGAAGGAGAGTAGTTATGTGTTAACAAACCTAAATCATGCCCTTAATGTTTCAGTTGTACAAATCCAGGAGGAAAATAACTCATATCACTTCCTTCACTTGGTGGAGACAGATGTGATGAACAATGGATGCAGAATTCCACACACTGTCAAAAATAGTCAATGTTTTGGTTTTGATTATCTGGGTTTTTTCTGTTACAAAGGACAGTTCTATGCAAGATGTATTGGAAAATTAAAATAATATAAAATCATAAAGCATCAATAAATAAAATGTTTTTAAAAATAATTCACAGTAGACACAGTCAACAAAAACCAAGCAGAGCCTATTTTCTCTGATACTTCCCTTGAACAGATTTTACCCATTCCTTTATCATGGAAAGACTAGATGTAAGGAAAGAAATAAGACAAGAAACTAAAATATAACTAAATGAAAATAAGACCATAAATTTGTATCCAGCATCAAATAATTCTCTTTTCCATTCTGCTTTGGCATGCTCACCCACATTTTTAATTCATGGTTTATTTTCAGGGTCCATGTTGCCACTTTCTAGAGGAAGACATTCTAGGATTATGTCCTTTGTTTCTTTTCTGAATAATAATTCTCTTTCCTTATTTTCTGCTACTTCTAGTATGGTACTTCCTTCAATATTACCGAGTCTTACAATATGGGAAGCCTAAGATGGACAGTGAAAAGCCATTTTTCTGGATGTTTGTGGACAGTTTGGTCCTGACCAAAGATGATAGAGAAATTGCTTCTCGATTCCTTGAGGTATAAAGCTGTTTGTGTTTCAACATCAACTCACCACAACAAACAGGATCTTTTTTTCTAGAGTTCCCTCAAATCTTTTCCTCATTTAGTAACACAAAGTTTGCCTTGTGTTCTTGGAAGTATACACTCTTGAGTGCTGACATTTATCGATCAGACCTAATGGATTAAGTTAGATACCACAAGCTAAAGGCTAAAGTCTCATTATCTTTGACATGCAAATACTGCAGAAATATGATCTCTGTTTCTAGTAGTGGAGTATTGACCTAGGGGACCATCAACTTAGTTTCTTAATTTTTAAATCTTGCCATAATTATAGGTGTTGGCCTATAAGAAAGAGGTGGAAATCATAACCACATGTGGATATGGAATATCCTCCAAAATTACTTTGGTAGAAATAATGTTATTTTGCTTTTGAAGAGACAATATCATGTTGTTTCTCCTTCTCCTCCTCCTTCCTCTTGTTCTTCTTGTTTCTCTTGTTCTTGTTCTTCCTCTTTCTTCTTTTCCTCCTCCTCTTCCTCTCTTTCTTTCCCTTTCACTTTCTTGTCCTCCTTTGTTTGTCAGCACACTTGTCCTTACCAAGTACCTAAAGATCAATGATTATGGCATTTCTTTTTTACTTTGATTTATACTAAGTCATGGCTGGGTCTTCTTTATTGGTTCATGATTCCAATCTCTATCAGTCTCATCTTTCTTCGACATTAGTTCAGACTATAATGATAATTCTTTCAGTCTCAGTGACTTTTCAGTTCAGGTTATGAGTCATAATCATGTATGAACGTTTTTACTCATTCCTTCTTAGACCTTTTCTTTCCTCTCTCAAGAGCTTTCCTCTAATTTCTTTTTAAACTATTTCTCTTCCTGATTGTAACTTTACTTTAAATAGTTTAAAAAGTAAAATATAACAAAAGGATGCTATTGACAGCTACAAATACCCTACAGGAGGTAAGGAATTTTTGCCCTAATTTGTATCTTGTGAAAAAGAAAACTTTTAATTTCAATTCTTTTTCATGATTAGAAAAATATAAAGCAACTATTTTAGTTTTAGGTATTGAGATGCAGAACAAGGTTTATAGCACATTGGGAAGATTCTATGTGAATAATTTATGGAAGGATATGGGCAAGAATGGTACAGAATGAGTGGGCATAGGTGGGGTACAATCTGTACTAGCGGAAGTAATGTCCACATAGAGAAGATCATGATGCATCATTGTTCCTAAATCTTGCTCCAGCACTTATTCTTTTTAAAAATATGTATACCAATACCACTAAGACTTGTAATGATGTCTTATACTGTATAAAACTCATTTAAAGTTATAAGAAACTAACATAATGCCATCATTAAACCTGGATTCAGATTTTCATGTGAGTTTATTCAAGTCATCTACTTAGAGTAGCACTGTGGTTCCTATTAGGGAACACAGTTTCCCAATACTGAAGACGGAAGGGTTATGCAAAGGATTGCATCCACATCAGAATAATTTCCAATGAAACTCAAAGGAAGTGACTTTCAAATGTTGTACTTTTCCTCATGGAATTATCTGCATAAGAAAAGTTTCAAATATAAATAAATGTTTTGTTAATCTATCAGTCTTATTCAATGTAGAGAACCTGGAAAACACATTTTGAATATCAGAAATGATTCTGCTGTTAGCTGCTCTCTGTACTCATTCAGATCATAATATGGAGTGGGGGTAGCAGGGAGAGGTTGCTACTTAGCATACAGTACATACTCATCCATTTTCTATTTGTTAAGACTGATCCAGTGACCATATATGAGGTGTGTGATGAGATGATCAAGAATGCAGTACTTGTATGGAGCAACATACCATCCATGAAAAGGTGATGTAAATTTGTATTTGATGTTCAGTCAAATAACTGAAAACCCATTTATTCAGGAAAGGTTTTGAAGATATGGGACAAAATGACAATGTAGAGCCAGGAAAAAGTGCTGAGGAAGTTAGGAGATCCTTTCTGATAACTAACACCATAGATCTCAACTCAGGGCCATTGGCCTGGCTTATGTCTCCTCCTTTTGAAGTCTCTCTTCTCAGTATTACCCTGAAATGACTATACCATTTTCCAGTATCCCAGTCTCAAAAGGTAGTATCAGAAGATGTAGCCTACATAATTTCAGTGTCCATCTCCTTGACACCCTGAAACCAAGAACCTTTAGTGAAGCCTCTTGTTTAAAAAACAGTTGTGACAACCATTGGTCATATAGGCACCACAAATAGCATTTGAAGTGGAATAAAGCAATGTAGAACACTATTTCAGGACTCTTTTTTTTTTCTTTTAGAGGTCATTAAATTAATTGTTTCTTCTGGAGCCTCCATGAGAGGCAGTATGTCATAATGAATACAATGTTGGTCTTTGAGTTAAATATATGGCTTTAAGCCCTACCTTCAAACTTATTAATTGTGTGACCCTTAACCTCACTAAGCCTCAATTTCCTTATTTGAAAAATGGGAATAATAGCAGCACCTATCTCAGAGGGTTGTTGTGAGGGTCAAATACAAAAAATATGTATTGGGCACTTTGCTAATCTTAAAGTACAATATAAATGGTAGGGATTATTTTGATGATGATGATGGTGGTGGTGGTGGTGGTAGTGATGATGACTATGATAGCAATGATCACCATCATGATGATGAAGATGATAATGATTATTCTATCCTAATTCCTCATCATGGTGTGAAGGTAACCCTAAATTCTTCCAGGTTTGTGTAAACTAGAAAAGTTTCAAGAACTGTGTATCTTTTAGGTGACAAAACACAGAAACTCTCAGTCTGTCCATTAAGTGAAAGAAGTGTTGTGATTTGCCTTGGCAAAGGAAATACATAACCTGGCAAAATAATGGATCCTTGATGTATTTTTTAAACAGATGAAAACTGCCCACCAAAATATGCCTATGATCTCTTTATTTTCTCTCCTAATCCACTCTTTCTTGGTGAAAGATTGGATTTAATTAGATTTGGTGGGGAGGGAGACAGTTACAGGTAGAGTGGAGAAGATGAAGAAGACAGCCATCCCAACTCTTCCCCCAGATACTATGACAAACCAACATATTCCATATGATCCTGGTTATTGGTTGTAAAGTATTCCACCTTGGACTGCACAAGAATCTAACTCCTCTATATTGGAGCTAGATAACCAGTGTCTTTTAGGATTATTGTGTTTGGAATTTGGGAGATGGGGGTGGAAAAGACTAATATTAAGCAAAATACTTTAATTGGATTTATAACCAGGATTACTAGGCCAAGGCATGGAGAGTTATTATTTCCCAGGGAAAAAAAAGGTCTATGGGAAATTTCCCTCTTTTTAAGGATATTTTTTCTTTGATGCTCAGAGCTTTTTTTGATATTTGGTGAAGACAAAACAAATCCATTAAAATCAAAAAACAATTTCCATTTCTGATAGCAGTCACAACATGTGAAATCTTTCTAAAAGTAGCAAAAGACCAGAGAGGATGTTCACTTTGGCAGCCAGTTCCAAACTGAACATGCCAAAGGAGTTTTTATTAAGATGTTCAAGGACACTATCCCCAGAATGGGACTTTCCACCAAGCCTAAATAGATAAAACATAGGTGAAGAAGTATGGAAAGAGTAAAAAGAATGAAAGAAAAGTTAAAAGCTCCAAAACAATGTTCACGTCCTTGGCCACACATTGCCAAGTATAGAAATTGCTTATTTATACCAAGTGATCTGAACTAAATAAAAGTCAGAAATATTCACTAAATGAAAACATAGTACTGGGAAGATTATATATATATATATATATATATATGGTTCTTTAAAGTGACTGATCCCCAATACATTCAAATATCCCCCCCAATACTTTTATGTATTCTATAAAATACTATTAACATTATACACCTGTCCTAATGTAAAGTATTTCAAATGTTGGAATTATTTTTTAGTTGATGAGTATGTGGAAAAGGAGTTCTGAACCAGTAATTTTATTGTCATAAAAAACTCCCAGTAAGGAAACCCCCTTTTCTACTGTAAATCAGGATCTACTGTACAACTTAAAGTATTAAGAAAGTTGCCTGGGTTTCTAAGCAGTCTTTCCCAGGGTCATATGGCAAGTACTTGTCAGAAGAGGGTGGGTCTTGCTCCCACATCTTCCCAATTGGTAAGCCAGTTCTCTATTACTCATGTTTACTCTTATAGACCCCCAAACAGGAAGAAAATGTAGATGGTTATGTAGGGGAAAGGCTAGGATAGTTATGAAACATGCACTTACACTAAACTCTGGAGATTGTACTTACATAGGTATGGAACTGTATACCAAGAAATGTCAAAGGACTAGCCATATTTTGTTATCCTGCTGAAATTTCATTATATCTGATGTTTCCCCAATAAATGAGTGTTCAGTTGTAGCTTAGAAATCTATAGGTTACACAAAGAATTTGGTTGTTATGTGATACATGGAATTCCACAGAATGCACAGCAACTTCTTCAGTGTGGGCACGCCATTCCGAGCAGTCCTGTGCCAGTGTCTTCCATGTCTCACAATCAATTTCAAAGTTCTTGAGAGTGTCCTTGTATCTCTTCTTCTGAATGCTATGGATGCAAAGAGGGCCAAAAACACAGTCCCTGTTCTCAAGAAGCTCACACTCTAACGTGGAAAAGAACATTCCAATGATACAGAGAGTGGATAGAAGGTGACCTCAGAGGGAAGTCATGCAGGCCAGTTCCACGGGAGGTGAAGTCCAAAACTTTAATGTGGTATCACATGCTTCAAGATAATTTCTGACTTCATAATATAGAAAACATTTAAATGCTTCTACTATTGAGTTTTTAAAGTTACCACAGAAAATTACAACCTATACATATTGCATCTTAATGTCTTTCAAAATCTTTGCGCCATTTTCACTACCACCATCTTCTAATTTTCATTCCCATCTCTTCTTCATTCTATCTCCTCCCCACTCCAGTCCTTAGTTTCTTCCTGCTTAGGGGTGGGGGTGGGGATGGTGTTTGTTTTAAGGCACTATAACCTTTCCATTTTGTTTTTTGTTTTGTAGCAATAATTCAGCTTTGACTTCAGACTGGGATTTGCCTCTGGTAGCACAGGACATACAGAGCTTGAATGATTTTTCTCTGTGGCCAGCCAGTCTTGTGAATAAATGTTTTAACCCTCTGAAAGAATATTTTAAATGCTTTTCCAAAGACCATACTTCTTAATTTCAAGTGAGTCATTTACCATAATCAAAAAGATTATTATTTTAAATATGTTTCCTAATATTCTGCTCTATTGCATATGTTTTATGGTTATTTTCTCATATAATTTTTACTATTTGCTTAGTTATTGCTATATTTTGTCAAATCTATGTTTGTTGCTTTGTTTTACTTACGAAAAGGCTACCCTAAGCCCCAAGTTGCTTGTCCACACTACTTAATTTAATGTTAAAAAGCCTAAAAGTGTGACTTTTCCATTCTCTTTTTTAAAAATTTGTTATATGGGATATATGTTGAAAAGTTCCTGAAACCATATATGTGCCATAACTTAAACATCTTAACAGATTTATTAAAAGGCGTTTATTTCATCAGCTTTCATGTTCTTTATTTGTAATTGCAGTAGAGCTAATATCATTATGTAAAAGCACACTATTCACATTGGCAAAAGTCAGGAAAAGAAATGGTGAGGTATCATAGAAACAATGTTGGGTCTGAATTTAAAGGACCTGGATTCAAATTCTGTCCCGGTGACCTATCACCGGGATACTGAGCAATCAATCACTTCATTTCTCTGGGCATCCATTTCTTCATCTATAAAATGAGAAAGTTAGACTAGATGACCTCCAAGATTACTTCTAGCTCGAAGTCTATGATTATAAATTGTGATGTTACAAAGGACCATGCTTTGGCACGAAAGTTCAGTATCTAATGGGGAATATAAAGTACTAACCCTTATCTACATGTGCTCCTGGGAGCCCCAGGACTGTGATTATACCATGAAAAATATATATATATATATATATATATGTGCATATATGTATATGTGTGTGTATGTGTATATGACCTTTATACCACTATACCATGATCATGGGGATGGACGGGGCATACAGGAGAAGAGGGGGAGCTGAAATCTCACTAGTGTCAACCAGGGTAGTCAAGCACCAGAGGGTACAGGGCCTATCTGGATCCACTGCAGAAAAAGCTACGGCTGTCTCCGTTGGCTAGAAAATGGGGCAGCTAAGTGGTTCACTGGATAGAACACTAGGCTTGGAGTCAGAAGGATCTGAGTTCAAATTTAGCCTCAGATACTTACTAACTGTGTGCCCCTGGGCAAGTCACTTTACCCTGTTTGCCTCAGTTTCCTCATCTGTAAAGTGAGCTGGAGAAAGAAATGGCAAACCACTCCAACATCTCTGCAGCGAATACCTCAGATGGGGTCCCAAAGGATCCACCAGGCCTGAAATGACTGAACAACAAATGGTAGTTTCCCTCTTTCTTGTTCCTTCATAATATTTGGGGAGGGGGAATGTGCATCCATTCCAAAGCTTACATCAGTTTTCATTATTCAGGCTGGGTCTCTGTATCTTACCCAGGTGGAAGTGCACTGACCACTCATGAGTAGATTCCATTGCTCATTGGCTTGGGAACTTTGACCTGCTCCTTTAGATAGCCTCATGTCCCCCTGTTCTCAGGGGGTCATCATGTTTATGCCAGATTTACCACAACCACCTGATTAGCTTAGCATATTCCAGTTCAGAACTCTACAGTTCAAATTCTCTGTTTCTTATATTTTCTCCCCCATTAGATTGTCAGCTCCTTGAGGGCAGGGGCTGTTTTTTGCCTCTTTTTGTAATCCTCTGCTCTTAGCCCAGTGCCTGGAACATGGTAGGCACTTAATAAATGTTTATTGATTGATCAAATCCACTAGTCTCAGCTTTCTTAAGAGAAGGAATTTCAGGTGTATGCCACCTCAGCTGGCTATGTCTTTCTTTACATTGTTCTTCATAAAAGCTAGAATTAGGATAAAACTACAATTAACCTAATGCATTATTGATTTTATATATACGTGTGTGTATATATATATGTATACATATATACATATATATGTATACATATACACATATATATATGTATACATATATATATTACTCAAGGGCAGTTGAAAAGGAGGTTATAGTCAAATACATAGAGAAAATGAAACTTTCGTTGTGAAACACTGGGGTTTTCCCAGACGAAGGCTCAAAAACTGAACCAAAATTTTTTTTTCAATAAATATCACTGTAACTCCACTAAAGTAGGGAAAAGATGAAACCCCATGAATCCTGGCCTTCATAAATTCCACTGGGCATAAATGAGTTAGCAGTGTTAGGAAGAAGGAAGCTTGAGAAAGACACTTTCTCCCCAAACACCTCTAACGCGAGGACCCGCAGCAACTTTCCTTTCCTTTCACAGGGCAAAGGCAAGCATGTAAGTAAGCAGAGAATCATGCCTGAAGGAGAGTTGGGAAAGAGCAAATCTACCCACATGAAGTTTGGGTGCCAGATGGAGGAGGCAGCTATTACTCCTCTTCAGCCAAACACCTCTAACCATCAACCACTGTTAATGAAAGTGTGATCTCATTCACATTTGCAGCCTTACTCTCACATGCTTTCTATTAAAAATCACACATATTAGCCACAACCAGATAAAGCAATTCCAATATAAATTATGTCCAAACTGAAAAAAAAAATCAGAATTGTGAAATGAAAGCAAGGGGGAAATGAATGCAGCACTGTCGATGTCCGGCGATAGGGCATTTGTTCATCAGACAGATTTCTGATTCCTCCCAGTTCATTTAAAAGAAGCCTTGAGGAGAAAGTCTACAGAAATAAAAAGAATCCACATCACACCATTTGCAGATATACAAAACTTGATCAAGATTAAAGACAGAAGGTATTAAGTAAAATTAACATTAAATCACAACCATTTTTAAGCCATCTTTAGTACCAGGAGTGAATTTTGTCAGCTTGCTCTTCCAAGGGCAAATTCTTTCATTTAAAGCCTGTTCCAACCTGTGCCCAATACTTTCCCAGACTCATTATGCATTATTCCTCTTCACATATTCTACCATATAGCCATACTATCCTATTTGCTTTTTTTTTTTCACACAACATCTTGTCTCCATGGCTTTGCCTTAAATGTATTCACTCCTCACCTCCACCTCTTAGCATCCCTTGTTCTAACTCAAGCATTTCTAGATACTGGGTATTGAGGGCCCATTTTCACACAGAATAAAGGAACGCTATAATAACATTAGTGTTCCTGTTGGTGGGGTTGTAAACTGAGTCCACAGAGCAATTTGGAACTATGCCCAAAGGGCTATAAAACCATGGATATTCTTTGATCTAGCAATACCATTACTAGATCTGTTTCCCAAAAGAGATAAAAAACAAAAAGTAAGAGGACTTATAGGTACAAAAATATTTATAGCAGCTCTTTTCTGGTGGCAAAAAATTGGAAATTGAGGGAATGCCCATCAATTGGGGAATGGCTGAACAAACTGTGGTATGTGGTTGTGATGGAATACTATTGTGCCATAAGAAATAACGAGGGGGCAGCTAGGTGGCGCAGTGGATAGAGCACCGACCCTGAAGTCAGGAGAACCTGAGTTCAAATGCGACCTCAGACCAAACACTTGATACTTACTAGCTATGTGACCCTGGGCAAGTCACTTAACCCAAATTGCCTTAAAAAAAAAAAAAAAAAAAAAAAAAAAAAATAAGAGGGGGGCGCTCACAAAAAAACCTGGAAAGACTTACATAACCTGATGTAAAGTGAAATGTACTGTGTACAGAGTGACAGCAACATTGTAAGATGATCAGCTGTGAATGACTTAGCTATTCTCAGCAATGCAATGATCCAAGACAACTCTGAAGGACTTATGATGAAAAGTGCTATTCATCCCCAGATAAAGAACTAGTGGTATCTGAATATAGATTGAAGCATACTTTTTTATTTCTTCGTTTTTCTTTAGGGTTTTTTTTCAGTCTATGTTGTCTTTCACAACATGACTTATGGAAATGTTAAAAAATAATATTAGAGCCCCAGTTTATCTTCATTATGGGTAAAATGTGGTTTGTAGACTAGCTGGAAAACTACACTAATAATGTTATTTCTACATAAGAAGGAAGGAAATAATCATTTATGAAATGCCTAATGGATGCCTTGCCCTTGGCTAGTGCCTTACAAATATTGCTTGATCCTCACAACAACAGTCAAAGATAGATGCTATTATTATCTCCATTTTACAGTTGAGGAAACTGAGGCAAACAGAGATTAAGTGACTTTCTCAGGGTCATACTTCAAGTAAGTAATGAGGCTGGGTTTGAACTCAGGTCATCCTGACTCCAGGCTCAGTGCTCAATGCACATCAAGACTATTTCAGTTTCTCCCTGGAGGAGTAGAAAAGGGGAGCTAGTGTCCTTCCCTCTCCCTGGACACATGAGGCACATCTATAAGAAGCTAACGCACATTCCCTGCCTGAGTGAACCTGAGATTGTATCTCAGATCCCTAGCTGCAGGAATGGGCTAGTAAATGTTTAACAACTAGCTCTCCAAACAATGCAGGACAAGCTTGTAAATTTAATCTAGGGTTATTAATATTTTCTCCATCACTTTTTTAAGTCTAGAAAATCAACATAGTAAATCAAGCCCCAATTTGCAGTATTTTCCTGTTTTCAAGACGTAAATTCTTGCTGAAAAGTTACCAATCAGTTCTCCAAGCTGGTCCAAGGTGGCTCCAGCACACTCTGGTCTAGCTTCCTCTTCTGCCTTTGTTTCCTTACCTAATCATAGGTGACTGAGAGGGACATGGTCCAGCCTTAAAGGCAATTTTACTAGTCTTGAGAGATTACGAAATCCAGGGTGTTCAGTTTGTGCAAGCTATATTGCAGGAAGTGCCCTTCTACATTTTCTACAGAGTTCCAGCAAAAGACAACTGATAGCCAAAGGATGAGACTGGCTTTCCAGAAGACATAGAATTGTTTGGACAGTGCAGAGTGAACGTAAAATGTAAAATGACTAATCGGCAATTCTGTAAAAATGCTTTCTGTTTTTGGTGGTTTTAAGTCTTAAATTCCTAGGATTATAGTTATGACTGCTGCTTGTTTCAATTTCTCTGTCAATGGGTGTTTGTGTATCTTGTGTATGTGAAGCACTTCTTTGTTAAGAGAAAACAACTAGTTGTTCTTTAGTTGATCCACATTATGCATCAAGCATCTTTCTACTCCCCTCTTTGGGGAGCCAAAAGCCAGGGCTATGGGGCTGAAGGAAAAAGAGCCAAAAAGTATGAGAAAGAAAGTGTGGCCATTCTTGAGGTGGTTAGACTCTGCTAGAACTGAATCAAGTTGTGCATGCAAGGGTCCAGAGATGGAAGGGTTCCCTTACTGGAGATGGAGAGGGTGCAGTGCACCATCCTGTCTGGGGCCAGCAGCAGCTTGGGTTTTTATTGTTACATCTGTAAGAACCACTTATTTATACATCTATAAACCACTAACCTACAAATGTACTCTTTTTTTCTTTTCTTTTTTTAATTTAATTTTTAAATTTTCAATCCATGTAACAAAACAAGCATTTCCATAACATAGCACAACAAAAAAGATGATTGCACATGAAACTACAGATCTGCTATGCACAACTGGCTATTTCTTTCAAATATACAACAAAATTATCATGTACATTTCTTTTTTTCCTTTTTTTTTCCTTCCCTCCCACACTCTCCACTTCCCATCCTAGAGATGGCTACCATTAGAAACAAATAAGTATATATGTAAAATTGTTCTATACATATTTCTATTTATCAGTTCTTTGGATACAGATAGCATCTTTCTTCATATGTCCTTTATAGTTAATTTGGAGTACAAATTTACTCTTGAAACAGGAACTGCCTATAAATTGGAGACTGTATTATACCTTAATTCCACCTTCTTAGCAGTGTTTCAGTGATCCCTTGGAGAGAAGAGAGCTTACTCATTCTGATACTCAATTAGCCAATCAACAAATTACATAGAGCAACTATTACATGCAAAATACTCCATTATAAAGTACTAAAAGTATAAGAAGTGAGAAGTGGTCCCAGTATACACACATACACACACAAATAATATATACATATATACATATACATATAAAATTATATCAAAACTTCCTACTAACCTGTATGTCTCAAGAAATTTGTAATCTAGTAGGAAATTATAATCAAATATCTTCCTCTAGCTTCAAAAATGTGACTGTGTGTGATTTCTGGACTATAATCCCACTGTATTATGCCCTGGTCAGACCACATCTAAAATAACATGCCTATTCTAAGGGTCCACATTTTAGGATTGATAACATTAAGTTTGAATTAAGATTGCCTCCAATTTATATAAGTTGCCTCCTGTTTCAAGAATTTATTCGTCAAGTTGTGGTTTAGAATTCAGGACACTTCTTATAGATGTAACAATAAAAGCCCAACTGCTTCTGGGCCCAGAGGGGATGGTACACTGTACCCTCTCCATATTCACTAATGGACTTTGAGCTTTAATAAGTTTAAAACTGTACCAAAATCTTGGGACACTTTGTATCAGTATACTATCTATACATACATACATATATATATATATATATATATATATATACACACACATGTACATAAAGCTACACACAGTGACATAAAATAAAATTCTTCTATCCCTACTAATTCATCCAACTCTTTCACCAGTCACTTAAAATATATTATGGTAGAGGTCACACTTGCAGACAATACCCAGAATGAGTTTGGGTCTTTTTTCCCCCGTAACATAAAAACCAGGATGCAAATTTATAGAAAATATACTATTATTCTACCAGAGTTAGGAAAAATCTGGCAACCCTCCTTAAGTGAAGTTCATTCCATTTCCCTTCCTGGCTTATTTACCAAAACTTGCTATAACCCTGAAAAGACTTCAATGAAGTGTATTTCAAAGAGTTTGTAAAAGGATAAAATAAAATTGTTTCCAAATGTACATTCAATGGGTTGGTTCTAGTAGGAATACTTCCAAGTCCAGCATGGGAGCAATAGGAAACTCTGGAACAAGGTTAAAAGTAGAGCCTTTTTGAAAATGATATTGGTAAAGCCAAAGATTGTAAAACTTGGGGGTAGAGATTAGGAGGAGAGGAAGCCTATAACATTTTAAGACAAGTTTGTGATGGATGAGAGTTTCAGTTGCAGGCCAGAGCTGATCAAGCCGGTCCTTTGGGAGTTGAGGAATGAAATGAGACATTTGCAATACATCTAAAAGTTAGCAAAAGGAGATTTACTTAGCCATAGTTGAGAAAGGACGTTCATTAAGGACATTGAGTTGATTTAACTGAGTGTAGATCTCTAGCCTCTGACTTGTCCATGGTGATCTTTCTTTTAAAATTTATTTTATTTTTAATTCATGGAATGAAACAAGCATATCTATAACATAGTATAATAAAAAAGATGAAACTGAAAATCTATCATGTAAAACTTCGTATTCTTTTTAAATATATAACATCTTGAAGACAGTGTTGAGATCTGATGGCCGAGTAGAAGATTGAAGGACCTTCAACTATCGAGGGATGCCACACACAGCTGTGCTAATCAGACACATCCAAGGCTGTAGCCATGGGGAGAAGGAGCTAGCACACACCTGGTGAGTGTAGCAGTGACTGGCAGGGACCCTGTTAGCTGTGGGCACTTGCAGGAGAGCAGAGTCCCTGGTTTCAGTTCTGGGACAGCGAGGACAGCTGTAGTTTGCAGCCACCCAAGAGACTGCAGGTAGCAAGATCATTTGGGGAACAGTGTGTCTGGGGGCCCTAGCTGTGGTTTAGGAGTGGAGAAGAGAGCCCAACATTGGGCCCTGAGGCAGCCCTTAGAAAATAACATTAAGAAGGACCTGAGGCTTGGGACATCATTCCTCATACTTCAGGACGACAACTTGGTTACACTAATAGCTATTTAAAAAAATTTAAATTAAATTAGAAATAAATAATTAGAAATGAGTAAGCAAAGGAGAAGGAACCCAACCATAAATAAATACTATGGGGATAAAGAAGATCTTGGTTCATATTCAGGGGAAGATAATAGAGCTAAAAAAGCCACTCTTTTTTCAATGAGAATTGTCAAATGATCCCAGGCACAAAAAGAGTTCTTGAAAGAGCTTAAAAAGGACTTAAAAATCAAACAAGAGAGATTGAGGAAAAAATAGAAAAAAAATAATAGCAATCCAAGAAAATCAAGAAAATTATGAAAAGAAAGTCAACCAACAGGAAATAGAGAATCAAAAACTTAAGGAAGAAAATAATTCCTCATTAACTAGAACTGCGCAAGGGGAAGCCAATGATGTTCCAAGACACCAAGAAATCATTTTTAAAAAATCAAAAGAATGAAAAAAGAAGAAGAGAAAGTAAAACATCTCATCACAAAAATGATCAATCTGCATAACAGATCGAGGAGAAATAATATAAGAATAGTTGGACTACATGAAAATTAGGATAAAAAAAGAATCTTGATATAATGAGAAATTATCAAGGAAATTTGCCCTGAAATTCTAGAACAAAAAGGAAAGTTAGAAATAGAAAAAAAAAATCCACTGATCACCATCTGAAAGAGATCCCAGGAGGAAAACTTACAGGAATATCATAGCCAAGTTTTAAAGCTCTCATGTTAAGGAGAAAATATTGGAAGCACAAAAAAAAAATTTAAATATCATGAAGCTACAATAAGGATTACTCGAGACCCAGCAGCTACCACGTTGAAGGACTGTAGGTATTGGAATACTATATTCCATAAAGCAAAAGAGCTAGGGTTATGACCAAGGGTAACTTACCCAGCAAAGTTAAGTATTATCCTGAATGAAAAAAAAATGGATATTTAATGAATTCGAAGATTTACAGGTTTTTGTGACAAAGCCCCCAGAACTTAGGGGAAAATTCGACATATAATATCCAGGAGAAATGTAAGGTAAGCATTAAAGACCAATTATACGGGACTCAATGAGGTCAAATTGTTTACTTCTTATATGTGAAGATATTAGCAATACTCTTATGACTGTCATCATTTGGGTAGTTTGAAAGAAGAGCATTGGCAGAGTTGAGTATGATGGGTGATTCTAAAAAAAGACAGGACTACATGAACATAAACAGAAAATACTTCATACAAATAAACTCAGATCTAAATAATTGAAGTATTATTTATTATTCATGAGTATGTAAAGCCAATATAATTTTTAAAATAACAATTTTACCTAACTAATCTATTTACTCAATGTCAATTAAATTACTAAAAAGAAAAATTTTACTGAGTTAGAAAAAATAATAAAGTTCATTTGGAAGAAACTTCAGGAACTTCAAAGAAACCAGGGGGAAAAGTTATAAAGGAAGTAGGTGAGAGCATTGTTGAAGTGTAAAAAGGATAATTTTGATTATTTTAAATTAAACTTTTCCTATAAAAATAAAGCCTATGAAGCCAAGAATAGAAGGAATGCAGAAAACTAAGGGAAAACTTTCATAGACAATGTGTCAGATAGCATGTGATTGGGTTGGAATATTACTCTGGTGTAGGAAATGATGAGCTGGTTATTTTAGAAAAACATGTAAAGACTTAGACTTATGGAGGAAGATGCTATCCACCTTCAAAGAAACAGATGATGGGTAGAAATAAATATAGTGCAGTCTAACATAGGTGTATGAGTATATATTTATATATGTATATATAGATATAGATACAGATATAGATATGCGTGTGTGTGTGTGTGTGTGTGTGTGTGGATTTATAGATCTGTGTGTGTATATGTGTGTGTGTGTTTCTCCATGCTTAATTGCAGCCTTCTTGGGGGCGAGGAGGGGAAAATAAAGTAAAAAGTGCACAGCAGAGAACATAAGAAAACCAATGACGAAGCAAAGAAAAGCTGGACAGCTTTGAAAACAACGTGTAGTATTTATTATATAGGTTTCCTTGAAATGGAAATATATTGTTTTATATTGAATTCTCTCTTACAGTCTGCTGTGTACATGTCAATGTTTTTTTTTCCTTTTCTCATTTTGTATTTGAGTTTAAAATTTTTAAAATTTACCAAAAAAAAAAAGAAGAAGAAAAGAAGAAGCTGTAGTATGCACAGCAGCCACACCCCAGTAAGCCTTCTCGGCAGACTGGCTAAACCAGGTTGAGAGCAACTGACAGACCTTAAACCCCTCAGTGGTTTAGGGGGATGTCTACCCCAAGCATGAGAAGACTTCCCCCAGTGTAACTGGTAGATGAGAACAATTTGCTCCAACAACTGTGAAGGTGATTGAGGGAGGCACCATGGAGCACTTAGAGCTTGGTCAGACATCAAAGACACCAACTTCATCCACAGCATCCCTGTCCATCCCCAGTCATCCTGATTTTTGTCTTGCCACTGGACCTCTGATGACTCTGGAAAAGAGAGTGAGGTTGATGGCTTTGTGTACCTCTGCCTCACTTAAATCCAAATTACATGCAAGTCAAGACATTACCCAGTGATGTCATTGGTACTCTTCCAAAATGAAAGGCAAACAACATTTTGACATACAGAAGAAGAAGATTATTGAAGCTCCTTGCAAGGGAGGATTGTTTTATTCATTGTACTTATATCCCCAGCAGCTAGCACAGTGCTTAGCACATAGTAGGTGCTTAATAAATGCGTGTTGATTGATTGAAACTGTGAAGTGCTATGCTTATCTCAAGAACCAAAGATATAACTCAAACCTAAAATGGTTGTTCCAACTCTGCCCTGTTTGTCTGATTCCCATCTAAACTTCCTTCTTTATGAATCTGTATATGTTTAAAATTTTAGTTTTCAACATTCACTTCCACAAGATTTTGAGTTCTAAATTTTCTCCCCATCTTGTCCCTCCCTCCATCCCAAGATGGTGTGCATTCTGAATACCCCTCCCCTAGTCTGGCCTTCCTTCTTTCATATACATTCCCCTTCTCTTATCATCTGCCCATTCTATTTTCCTGTAGGGCAGAATAGATTTCTATACTCCATTACCTGTATATCTTATTTCCCAGTTGCATGTAAAAACAATTTTTAACATTTGTTTTTAAAACTTTGGGTTCCAAATTCTCTCTCTTCCTCCCTCCCCACTCCAACCCTTTTCATAGAGAAGGTAAGCAACTCGATATAGGTTATACATGTATAGTCATGCAAAACACTTCCATCATAGTAACATTGGGATAAACTAACTATATTTCCCTCCATCCTATCCTGCCCCCATTTATTCTCTTCTATTCTATTCTATTCTTTGACCCTGTCCCTCCTCAAAAATGTTTGCTTCTGATTACCCACTCCCCCAATCTGCTCTCCTTTCTATCATCTCCCCCTCTTATCCCTTTCCCCCCTATTTTCCTGTAGAGTAAGATATATTTCCATACCCAATTGAGTGTGTATGTTATTCCCTCCTTGAGCCAAATCCAATGAGAGTAAGATTCGCTCATTCCCTCTCATCTCTCCTCTCTTCCCCTCCACTGTAAAAACTTTTTCTTGTCTGTTTTATGGGATATAATTTACCCCAGTCTACCACTCCCTTTTTTCCTTCTCCCAGTATAATTTTCTCTCACCCCTTAATTTTATTTTTTAGATATCATCCCTTCATATTCAACTCACCCTTTGCCCTCTGTCTACATACATATGTATATATACATATAAATGTATGTATGTGTGTATGTATGTGTGTGTGTGTGTGTGTGTATACACATATTCCCTCCAACTACCCTCCCTAATACTGAGAAAGGTCTCTTCAGTTACAAATATCATCTTTCCATGTAGGAATGTAAACAGTTCAACTTTAATAATCCCTTATGATTTCTCTTTCCTGTTTACCTCTTCATGCTTCTCTTGAGTCTTGTATTTGAAAGTCAAATTTTCTTTTCAGCTCTGGTCTTTTCATTAAGAATGCTTGGAAGTCCTCTATTCATTGAATATCCATTTTTTTCCCCTGCAGGATTATACTCAGTTTTGCTGGATAGGTGATTCTTGGCTTTAATCCTAGCTTTGATCTCCAGAATATCATATTCCAAGCCCTCTGATCCCTTAATGTAGAAGCTACTAAATCTTGTGTTATCCTGATTGTGTTTCCACAATATTTGAATTGTTTCTATCTGGTTGCTTACAATATTTTCTCCTTGACCTGGGAAGTCTGGAATTTGGCTATAATATTCCTAGGAGTTCTCTTTTTGGGACCTCTTTCAGGAGTTGATCTGTGGATTCTTTCAATTTCTATTTTACCCTGGTTTACTTTGGTTCTAGAATATGAGGGTAGTTTTCCTTGATAATTCCTTAAAAGATGACATCTAGGCTGAGTCTATATATGTTTAATAATTCATTAATACTCTCTTCTTTTGTTTTGTATCACTATCACATCCCTCCCCACATCACTCCCCAACTTCCCCCAAAAAAAGAAAAATAAAATCCTTTTCTTGTAATAAATAAGTACTGTAGTCATTCAAAACAAATTCACACATTGGTAATGTCTTTAAAAAAAAAAGTCTCATTCTGCCCTTTTAATCCTCACCTTTCAGCCAAGGGTGAAGAGCTGATTTATTATAAATCTTCTGAAGTTATAACTGGTCTTGTGTTGTTGTTCATCCTTATAAGACTACAAATTGAAGATGAGTTGCAGATCTGCATTGACAGAGGGAATTTCTTCACCCAGAATTCCCTTCACATAGAAGAGCACAGATCTGGACAAAACCAGACAAATTTAGGTAGATGCCATTGTGCTGGAAAAGTGATTTTTGTCCTTGGCAATGAACAGTCTTTATCTTTTTTTTCAAGGATTAACTAACAAATTGGGTTTTATAACAACATCCATTTATCCTTTGTACCAGAATTCCTTCACCCTTTTTTCACTTCTATTGCTACTAATATTGAAATATTGAGTTTGTAAGAAAATCATTAAGCAGGCTTACTGTGGTTGAGTGTTTTTTTGTTTTTTTGGCTATGGAGTTAAGTGGCTTGCCCAGGGTCTCACAGATAGTAAGTGTTATGTGTCTGAGACCAGATTTGAACTCAGGTCCTTCTAAATCCAGGGCCAGTGCACTATCCACTGTACCACCTACCTGCCCCCTTTTTTTTCTTTCAAACTAGATGCATAATTTTGCTGGGCAGAAAACTTGTGAAGGAATAACTTCTATCAAAGCATTTCTGCTGAGTATGCTGCAATTTAAAGCCTTAGAGATTAGATAGAGAGTTTCCTGAGGGCAATGAGAGTTATGTAAGTAGCCTAGGATCTCACAGTCAGTATGGGTCTGAAAGGAACTTGAGTTTAGGCCTTTCTGCCTGAAGCTGGCTGGATTTTCATCTTGTATTCTATACCTGCCTCTGTCTTTAGTACTAACATTTTGTTCAGAAGTCCTATGATAAAAACAGGAAAGCTTTGGCCCAGAACAGACTCATGATTACAGCAAAGTCTACAGGAGGCAGGGTTAGAGAGTCCTGTAATCACCAGAAACAGAACAGGAAACAGAGCTACAGCTGTGAAGAGAGGGAAACCACCATGCTCCCTAGGGTTTGGCTCTTCATATCCATTATAAGCAGGTGGCTTGGGCTCCTACCTCAACTACTCTCCTTCTGTCCACCCCACCCCCATTCTCACAAACATACCAAAAGCAATTGAATAGAACCACACAGGGCCAACTAACCTCAACAGCTGTAAACATTTAATGTGAGCTCCAGACTTCAATTGAATTAGACAGAAATTACTTTGGAGATCAGTCATTTCAACCCCTTCCTTCCCTGTATTCACATCCTTGATCACCATAGCCACACACACACACAAGAACACAAACTTGAACACACACACACACACACACACACAAAACCAAATCTCCAACAAGAGAAGGATGAAGTGCACAGGCTTAGCATTTCCTAGTTTTTCATAGGAGTAAAAACTGTTAAAAAATACTAAAGATCAGGGGCAGCTAGGTGGCGCAGTGGATAGAGCACTGGCCCTGGATTCTGGAAGAGCTGAGTTCAAATCCGACCTCAGACACATAACACCTACTAGCTGTGTGACCCTGGGCAAGTCACTTAACCCCAATTGCCTGGAAAAAAAAAGGAATTATCTGGTTCAACCTCTTTATTTTACATGCAACAGACCCTCTGGACTACTCTTCTTGTTTTCATTTGTACTCTTGGCTTAGTTCCCCGGAGGGTGACTGCTACCCCAAGTTCAAAGGCAGGAGAGGATGCTAGTGTCACTTGCTCCTACTACTATGCCTGATGAGTCCTGATGTGCTTCCTATTAACAATTAGTCCATAGATGCGATTGCTGATGCTTAGTCAATTAGTAGTGTCTGACTCTTCATTAACCCATTTGGGGTTTTCTTGGCAGAGATGCTGAAGTGGTTTGCCATTTCCTTCTCCAACTTATTTTACAGATGAGGAAACTGAGGCAAATAAATTGCTTACCCAGGGTCACACAGCTAGTAAGTAAGTGTCTGAGGCTGGATTTGAACTCATGTGCACTTGACTCCAGAGTCAGTACTCTGTAGATGCAATTAGCTCTTAGCAAAGGCACTTACTGAGTGCTTTTTTCTAATAGCTTTCATTTCCCTTATAATATGGGGCACAGTCTCCTGCAAATATAAATACCATCTATAAAAAGAGAATGTGCAGATTTAGGGTACAGTGGTAGTGAGGCATATATTGGGGAACATACATGGTAAAGGATATTCACTAGTCTGGTATTAAAGAGCCTAGAAGTTTTTTCTCTCCAATGCTACAAATCTCTTCCTGTGTGCAACATCTCAGCTGGGTGAGTTCTTTAGCCAGCCTTCCTGGGTCTGCTCCTCTCTACACCTTGACTCTGAATAGCCAGTGCTAGCCCATTCTCGAAGTCTACAGCTGGCCCCCTTCCCTGTTTTTAGAAGTTTTGCTCTGAAAGCAACACTCTTCCTCAAATGACTATCACTGAATCCTTATCAGTTGAGGGTGTTTTTCTTTGATTCCTGCTGGATACATTATCCCCAAGAAATATAGTAGATCTATTTCAAAGCAACATGGCTGAAGGAGGGAGTGGAGGTAGGAATTCTCCCCTCCCCCACTAACCCCAATGGCAAGTCTCTCTCTGGGGCCAGGTGCTTCTACTTCTAACTATTGCCTAGCTAGCAGCTCAGCTTTTTAATGGTCGTTAGAGGCAAGACTAATTTTCCACTGCTCAATTGACAGTTTGACAATTGACAACTCCTTTAAATTCTGTATTCATGCTTCATAAAATATCTTTTTATTAGTACTTCATTCCCTTTCTTATATACACTTTGTTTTCTCTTATATCAATTATGGTGCAGAGGGGGAAGATGAGGAAATCTTTTTTGCACATTCTTCCCTATATTAAAATATTTGCTGTTTTAGGCAAATCAGTTGGGTTTGTTTTTCTTTTCTCCAAAACCCAGAAAAATCTATGTGGCACAGGTCTTAATCCAAAATAAACATTCTTCTGTAAGTTTATAGATCTATCATAATTAGCATACATGGGAATTAGACATGCCCAAATACATGTTGTACATTTTAGCTAGTGGCATTCATAAAATTCTCGTAGTTATAACTCGTGGTGGTGCTTGCAAAGCCTTCCCCAACCCAAAGATACGAAGGAAAGAGGAGGAAAATCCACCTTCCTTTCTCAGAGGGAAAACCTGGTCCCTACAGTTTCCAATTGAGAAATCGGTGTCCTGTGCTGAAAATTTCTCTGAGTACTGGCAAAACTGGCAAAACTGGCAAAACTGGCAAAACGAAGCTAGAGGTTCCAATTTACTCCCCCCACCTCAACTAAGGAGTGAATTTTAGGGCAGCTAGGTAGTGCGGTGGATAGAGCACCGGGCCCTGGAATCAGGAGGACCTGAGTTCAAATCCGACCTCAGACACATAGCACTTCCTAGCTGTGTGACTCTGGGCAAGTTACTTAACCCCAATTTCCTCACTTTAAAAAAAAAAAAAAAAAGGGCGTAAATTTTGAAAGGCCCCAAAGAGACGTGGGGCTCCCTAACAGAGACCAATTATATCCTTCCTCACCATACACAGATGAAATTAAAGCCTAGAGAGGTGAAGGTACTTGTTTAGGATTACATAGGTTATATATAGGAAAGGCGGGATTTGAACCCTGATTTTCTGATTCGACCACATAACCTCACAGACATTACAGACCTGCCCGCAGGAGAATGCCAAGTATGGAGAGCTAGGGACTACGGGAGGGGAGGGGAGGGGAGGGGAGGGGACGAGGGGGGGGGGGGGGGGGGACGAGGGGGGGTACGGGAGGGGAGGGGAGCTGGCGGCACCAAAACATTGAGTCCCTAGCCCAGAGCCCAAGAGGCCCTCGGGAAGACTTTCACCACCCTCCATTCCTTTCACCATTAGTAATCCATTACAGATTGCTTAGGGTTGGTCTATGGGCTAACCCGGGGCTGACCTGAGACAAGACGAATGAGCAGGTTAGCCTGGGAGGTGACGAGGATCATGAGAAACTGTGCACTGACGAGTGGGAACGGGTAGAGGCGGGAGCCGGGTGTGGGCAGGGCTTAGGCTGTGAAAGGAGGAAACTGCGGCCGAGAGCCATCCATCACTACTCCCTCAGACCAGCAAATGACTGTGCTGTACCGACAGGACTGACAGTTGTGTGTTTGCAGCCTCAGATTGCGGAAGATCTCAGAGTTCGGATTCTTGTGCTCTCCAAGCCACTGCGGGGTCACCATTGTATCTCTTCTGCGCTCTCAACATGCCCCTGAAAAGGTGAGTGAAAAGAAGGGAGGAGGGTGGATAGGGAAAGAGAAGGGTCACTGTCCCTTCGCTGAATCGGGATTCTCGATGCCTGCTAAAACTCTATAACCACCCCACTCTCCCACCTACACAGCCCCAATCGGGTTCTCCCTGGGAGCTAGAAGCCGCCCGGGTGCTTTGGGAGGAAGAGGGCAAAGAAAGCAGCGGCACCAGCGGTTCCAGCCCCCTGCAGGACCCCAAGGGAGAAGCGGCTGAAAGTGATTGATCATTTGCTGAACAAAACCACCTCAAAAAGTTGTCGGGCAGGGCAGGCTAGGCAGCCAGCCCTAAGTAGGAGACCGGGAGAGAAAAGAGTAAACCGGGCCACTTGCCGGCGTCTATGCGTTATTAAGCAAGAGCCAGCTGAAGTCCCAGAATGGCAGCTGCTGCATTTAGCTGACAGGGTGAGAAAGGGAGAGAAAATCAACTCTCAGGGCATTTCTATAAGGGGCACCCCTAGGCTTAAAAATGAGCTAATTATTGTATCAAGGTGTTACTCAAGGAAGTTTAGTAATGAGGGAAGAGTTTCTGTGGGAACGCTACCTCTCAGTAACGTTTCAGCACGTAGAAAACTTCTTAATGTAAGTATCGGAAAGGAGGGATGGGGATGTGAGGGGGAAGAGTAGCAAAGTTACACTCGTGTCACAAATGGATATTTTACCAGAAATCCATAAATGAAGGTAACTAGACATTCTCTAAATAAGTAGTAGAAAGGCATCACGCATAACCTGCCTGTGGGGGCGTAAAAAAAGGCAGGAATTAAATGTATTGTGCAAAACCACGGTCATAAACATTTCAGTTCAATAAACTACTGATGGTCAATTTCTACTGATTATATGCCTATGCTCAGTATATACTACGTGGCACAGTGGAGGAGGGGTGGGGGGGATGAAAAGATTAATAAGTTGTAGCCTCTACCTTCAAAAAGGAGAGTTAAGATACAGGCACACAACTGTAATATAACGCAGAAAGAAATACCGAAAGAGCGATTTCCCAGGAAAGTGAGCTATGAGAGTGCAGGGAAGAGATCGCCTTTGACAGGAGAGATCAGGAAAGACAGTATTTGAATAGAGCCTGGAATGGTGGGGTAGGTTTTTTAACAGATGGATAAGAGGGTAGTGGAAGTGGTCTGGCAAATCGGGAAAAGCACAAGCAAACACATAGAAGCAGGAAAACTAGGGACGAGTTCCAGAAGTGAGAGAAGACCAGTTTAGCAGGGAGTAATGATGATTCGTAAGGTATGTAAGATCATATGTGGAAAGTGTTGAATACCATGCTAAGCAGAAGTGGAGAGAGAACCAAGAAAAATCTTTGAGCTGGGAGTGATTTAATCAGAGGTGTGCTTTAGGAAGATTAAGGCAGCCCTATTTAGGAAGAATTAAAGAGGAAGGCAACCGAAGACAGGATTCTTATTATTTATTATCTATTAACTCGATTTAAAAAAGAAGTGTTAAAATTACTTTTTTTACACGTAATTGGGAAATTTGTTTTGTTTTGTCTTTTCAAAAATACTTTTGAAGCAGACTAGCCAAGAGGTAGATAAGAGCCTAAACTAGGTTGATAGTAATGGGGCCAGAAAAGAAGGGACGGAGGAGAGAAACATTGCTAAGGGCTAGACTCCAACTAGGTGAATCATGGAAAGAGATGGGAGGAAAAAGGGGAAGGGAATTAAAGGTAGAAAAAAAATTTTTTTACAAAATAATTGTAAAAGCCTTGATGCCTGAGAAGATGGTGGTGTCCTTACCAAAAACAGAGAAGCCAAAAGGAGGACTAGGTTGAGAGAAAAATAAAAAACTCAATTTAGGACATTGAAGTTGAGGTGTAGGCAAAAATCCACGTGGGGTTGGGGAGTAGCAGATAACTTTAAATATTTTAACAGCTTAGCATATCTCTTTATTACATATGTAAACACATGCATTCTGTCATGAACAGGGCTAGCTATAATAGGTCCCCTATTAACATTATGTTATGAATTTTGTAAATTTCACCAAATCCCCAAATGCTACTCTTACACAGCTTAATTTCTTATTTTTTTTAACTTTCCACTAACTGAAATTCTACAGACTTTTGATCCTAGATTAAAACTGGAAGGAACCTTAGAGATCATTGAGTCCAGCCCCCATTTTACTGAAGGACAACTTCCCTAAGGTCATCTTTCTCCTCTCCATAAAAACCTATTCCTTTTTCTCCTTGGACCAGTGACTCCCTCATATACATGTTTGTTTTTCATACTTAAATGTTTAAATGTTGTAGGATTAGAACCAAAATCATCTGACTTCAAATCTAGAACTTTCCCTCCTGTTTCTTCTTTTAATTTTCACTGCTTCTTCTTTTCATGTAAAGGAGACCTTACCTCACACTTCAGTGTGAATTATAATCCAATTGTTTTTCTCTTAATATCATATGAAGGAGTGGGAGTTTTGATAGAGGAAGTGAAAAAAGGTCATTTTTGAATTCAAGTATGAGGAACTGGAGATGGAGGGTAGAGGAAGAAGAAAGGGGGAGGGAAGTTTTGGAGATGCCAGAGGGTAGATAGTGCTTGAGGGATGAGGAAGGGGAGCAGAAGGGGATGTCTGAAACAGACACTAAGCGCAAAAGATAAATGTTATTTACTTCACAATATTTCTTCAAAACTGTCTAAGGTAATAATACTGCAATTCTGCATTCTTATACATGTGATGGCCCTATTTGAGACCATTGGTCAAGATCATGTTTTGATTCTATGATGTATACAAATGATGACTTGCCACAATCACACATCAAAATTGCAGAAAAGGAGGTATGACTAGAGAAGGAAATAAGCCAGTCATGTATTGGGAGTTGAGGGATAGCTCATGCACAGCATGCATGCTCCACTGGCACTCATGCAATATCAGGAGGTCTAGCATATGGCCCCCAAAACCTTGAATATACCCCTTGTAAAGTAGGAAGTAAGAGGACAATCTTCATCTGCAAAGCTTCTGAGAGCTGAGAGTTTAGCTTTTATTCTTCTAAGAAAGATTAGGACTGAGGGAATTAGCTGTCATCTGTAAGAGGATTATGAAAGTTAATTGTTTTCTTGTGAGAGAATCTTAAGATACATTGTGAGTAAACTGCATTTAACTCATTTTGTGAAGAGATATTATGAAGGGAATTCCTGAAACATTGGAGTTACCATTCTAATAGAACAGTTATATCCAGAATTGAGGAGTCAATAACAGTACTGAATGACAAGGGATGAATATTCCATTTCATGTCTCTTTTTTCTGCCTTTTGAAGAATACAAAGGTGACTCCATGAACTTTGTTCACAGCAATACTCTGTAAATGTTAATGTATGACTGTATTTTTATTTGCTACTACAAAATTGTATGTTTCTTTAAAGTTATAAGACTAGGGGTGTAAGACAGATGGGGAAGGTTTTGGAGGGAGAGAGAGATGAAAGTGGGGAACATAGTTTTCTCTGTTCTATTTATATACTAGAGTGAAGGCCCAGAGCTAATGGATTAATTAATGCGAGATTGTGCATATCTATTAATTTATAGGCTTTATCAGATTCAGGAACTGAGGACTAATAAATAATACATTATAATAATGCGTAAAAATATGCTAAGATATTAATTTGGTCTTCATTGCAGCAACACAATCCTTCTACTCTTCCTTAATTGATTCTCTACTCCATTCTCCACAGCAGCTTTTGCATTCATCTGTCCTCAAATTTTCCATGGCCTCTTTTCCCCCTACCCTCTCAGTTGAGGATGTGCACATATTTCTCTCTCTGTCTCTGTCTCTTCTCCCTCTCTCTTTCATTCTCTCTCTCTCTCTCTCTTTCTCTCTCTCTCTCCCTCACAGACACACACACACACACACACACACACACACACACACAATACCATTTGATTAAAACATCCTCTTCTCCCCTTCTCCTCATCTTACATCCCTCTGACAAAATCTTCCACTATGTTCCTTCACTCAGATGATCCTTGTACTTGCCAAGGCCCTTTCCTACACCCTTGAGTCATTCTTCTACAGCAGGTTGTCCCCTCTGTCATACTCATACTGTCTCTAATCTTCAGCTTCTTCCCATCTACTGTCTCCTTACCTGCTGCCTATAAGCATGCTCCTATCTCACACCTCCTCAAAAACCCCTCATTTGATCCTACTTTCCCCTCTGGCTATTATCCCATGTATCTTTCCCTTATCAGCCAAACTCCTTGGAAAAAAGCCATCTACAAATTGGTACCTCCACTTCCTCTCCTCTTACTCTCTTCTAAATCCTCTGTAATGTCTTCTGACCTCTTAATTCAACAGAAACCATATTCCCCAAATGATTTCTTATTTGCCAGATTTAATGGTCCATTCTCAGTTCTCTTCCTTTTTGACCTCTCTTGCAGTGTTTGATACTTGTTGAGCATTATCTCTTCTTTCTAGGTTTTCCTGACACTGCTTTCTCTTTGTCCTCCTCCTAACCTGTCTAACTGTTCCTTCTTAGTGTCCTTTGCTGAATCTTCATCCAGGTCATGCTCACCAACTCTAAGTGTAAGTGTAAAAACTCTGCTTTGGGCCCTCTTTTCTCTCTTTCCTATCTCTCTTGGCCGAGTTCATTAATGCTCAGGGGTCCATCTGTCATTGCCATACAAATGTTTCCCTGATCTATAGCTAGTCCTTAGTCTCCTGAGATCTAGTCTGTCATCACTGGCTATTGAATAGATAGCCAAAAGTGAACTATTTT